TAGCTCTGTGAGGCTACAAATCCTGAAGGTTGAGCTTAATGCCAATGCCAATATGCTAACGATGCAAGCGGGAGTGAAGAGCAGACCGGTGTCTGTTGGCAAGAAAGTGCGCGGGAGCCAGTGGAGTCAAGACTCTGGGTAGGGGAGCGTTCCCTTAGTCGGCGGACATGTGGAAACCCCATAGACCTTCAGATGGAAAGGTGTGCGTGGGCGTTTCTGATATCATTTTGATCGTTGTGAATGTAAGTGAGGTATGTGGCCAAGGATTTTGATTATGTTGTCTGGGATTCCCTGCCGGACGTGGTGGAGGCGGCTCCGATGCGGAACAAATGCCCAGAGTACAGTTTGTGGGATATGCCGGATTTGGATAGAATTTGGCGGTGGTGTTGGTGAAACCAGAAGCGTGTGGTTACTTTCCCTGTCTCTTTGACGAACAGAAGATCTTGGGGGAAAGCATGGCTGGCTAGTCTTGAGTCCACGTAGAGACGTTTTGGTTAGTACGGACTGAGGTAAGAATTGAGTTGGAAGACGTACAGTCCCCTCCAAAAGTATAAACGGTATGGGAAATTCCTTTGTTTTTGTTGTTCAATGTAGACATTTGGGTTAAGATCAAAAGATGAGTATGAGACAAGAGTTCAGAATTTCAGAATCCGCAGCTCAGGACATACCACCCTTTGTTTGAACCCACTCGTTTTTTTTGTTAAAACTTATAAAGACAGCATTTCCTGTTAAAGAGGATAAACCAACATGAATACCAGAGAGTCTCTGGGAGAAAAGCAAGCCATTGTCAAGCTGAGAAAAGAAGGAAAATTAACCAGAGCCATTGGACAAACATTGGGCATAGCAAGCACAACAATGTGGAATACCATGGCTTGGGCGTGCATGGCTGCTTCTGGAACAGGCTCATTAATATTTATTGATGATGTAACTGATGATGGGAGCAGCAGAATGAATTCAGAAGTGGACAGAAACATTTTGTCTGCCAATTTACGGAGAAATGCATTGAAACTAATCGGGAGAAAGTTTATCATGCAGCAGGACAATGACCCAAAGCAAGCTGCCAACTAAACAAAGGACTTCATCAGGGGAAAAAAGTGGAAGGTCTTAGACTGGCCAAGTCAATCACCTGACCTTAACCCAATAGAGCATGCATTTCACCTCCTGAGAGGAGACTGAAGGGAGAAACACCCCGAAACAAACAAGAACTGAAAGAAACTGCAGAAAAACCCTGGAATAGCATCACAAATGAAGAATGCAATAGTTTGGTGATGTCGATGGGACGCAGGCTTGAGGCAGTTATTGCAAGCAAGGGTTATGCCACCAAATATTACATGTTATTTACTTTAAGATCAGTTGTTCCATTACTTTTGCTCACCTAAGAATGCTGTGGTCTAATACAAACGCTGATATGTCCTAAGTTGTTTAACACATCTAGATGTGAAAACCAGGAAATGAGAGCTGAAATTCTGAACTCTTGTCTCATACTCATCTTTTTATCTTAAACCCAAATGTCTTCAGTGAACAACAAAAACAAAGGAATTTCTCTTACCGTTCCAATACTTTTGGAGGGGACTGTACATGGGTTGCGGTAGGCCGGACTGGTTGGTTTTGCTGCGTTTGAGGTGATAAGTGAGTGTGTCTGCGAATTGTATGGAAATGTCAGCCATGGTGCCGTGTAGGCTCAGATGGTAGTGGAGGCTAGAGGCAGTGAAGGAGGCAGCCTCTGAGGCTCCAGAGTCGTTACATAATCTATATACAACTTTTGGGATTTTGATGAACTGTTTCTGTTTTTGGTGCAGCTCTGACAGACTTAATTTCTTATTTTTAGTATTTAACATTTCACTCCTGTTTCTATTTATTCCTATGTTTTCTTTGCAGCTCAGTCAAAGTTGGTTTGTTCACATCAGCCAATCGTAGCCTGGGTTGGTGGTGATGTAATTTTGCCATGTCACCTTGAACCTGCACTTAGTGCAAGTTCTGAGATCGTGGTGTGGACCAAACCTGGTTTGGACCGAAAGTACATCTATGTTCACCAAGATGGACGACTGATGTACCAGAGTAAAAATCCATCTTATCATTCCCGAACAGCTATGTTTGAGGATGAACTGAGTAAAGGAAACGTCTCTCTGCAAATCTTCAATGTGGAAATCTCTGATGCAGGAAAATACTCCTGTTTCCTTCGATCACTGCAGAAAGAAGCTTCCATCCAACTCATTGTTGGTGAGTGAGACTTAAGCTTAATATAAATATTAATAATAGTCCTTTTGTTTTTATCATATCTTTAAAGTCAGAAATCGAAAAGCATGTAGCCCTAACTCTCTTCCATATCACATGTTCTATTAGCAGTGTAGTGAATGAAAGGCACAAATGTACAGAGCCCTGTAAGAACCATTGAATTAAAAATAAATATTCTTCACTAAAAGATGAGCTAAGAACAGTTTCCAACTTCGACTTTTTGGATGGTTCATTGAGAAAACCAGAGGGTTTGATGTGGTTTGGCATGGGCGGGAATGGAGCCTGAAGGCATGTTGTATGTTCCCAGGTACGTTTGCACCAATCATTGACCTACAAAGAAGCACTGGCAGTTACAACAGAAGCTCCAGGCATGCCCGAACGCTAGGCGTGCAGTGAGAAGAGACTGTTCACTTGAAATTACTTTTCGTTCGTAACAATTGCTACAAACAATGATGCTGAAAAGGTTAGCATATATACTGCTAGTTTTCTTCATTAAAAGAAAAACAAAGAACAGCACAAGGAGCCTGCCCTTTCGAAATTGTTCCAATGATGGAACCATTGATGGTTGTGTGTAACTGATGGTTCTGCGTAACTGGCATCTCTGTGTCGGGAGCCCCTATTGGAACCGGCTGCCATAGTTTTTGAAAGTGTGCAAAAGGTGGCGCTGGCATCTTGGTGCCAAAGCCCCTACTGAACCCAGTTGCTGTGGTTGTAGTGTACAGCTGGGGGCGCAGGGTGCTGATGACTATGTAGTTTGTCCTGTATGATAATGCTGGTGCTGTTGCTGTAAACCCTGAGGCTCAAAATTCTGGTGCTGGCTGACTCCCGTTTTGCTTTTGGTGCTGACCTTTCTGCTGTCTTGAGCTGGAGTTTATATGTGAACTGTTCCTTTAACAGTGGTGCTGCAGTCGTGGTGTGTGTGATTGCGTCCCCATGGGGTTGACAGAGCCGTGGGTATGACATGCGTTGAAAAGTTTGCTGGATTGTTTTTTTCTGTGAGACAGAATTATTTTATCTTTAAGCATTTTGTGAAGAGTGGCATATAGTCCGTTTTTAAATTGTATATGAAGACTGGTTGACACGGGACCTCGCTGGAGTGTGGTAATGCTGCGCTCTGCTGCTTGTTTTGAGGCGGAGGATTCATCATGTGAAATGTTCTTCAATGTTGAGGAGAGATGAACCATGTAAGATATTAAGTTAAAGCTGGACTCACCACCTTCCTGGCTGGTATTAAGACTGTGGAGTCATGGAGGCGAACAGTCCAGCTTCTAATGCTGGGTCTGCTGCGTTAATGGAAAAGTTGAAAATGATTGTTGTGAGTCCGTCCAAATGATTGAGGATATATATGGTGTCCGATTGGGGATAGCAAGATTGAGTCCATTCTCAATAAAAAGTAAGTGGATGAATGAAGTCGCTTTTAATAATTTTCAATATGGCATGGTAGCGTTAACTTAGCATTAATTTATACATGTTTTATCTAAAGCCAATGTTCTAAATTCCTCCTCAGGTGCTGTCTCCTCGCCCATCATACAGGTTGTCTCAGATAACAGTGACAGTGTGGTGTTTCAGTGTGAGTCTGAAGGCTGGTATCCAGAGCCTGAGGTGTTTTGGCTGGACGGTGAGGGAAACCTCCTCTCTGCTGGACCTACAGAGACAGTCAGAGGTCCTGATGACCTCTATACTGTCAGCAGCAGAGTGACTGTGGAGAAGAGACACAGCAACAGCTTCACCTGTAGAGTCCAACAGAAGGACATCAACCAGACCAGAGACACTCACATCCATGTTACAGGTTAGAAAGAGTTTTGTATAAATTATACAAAATACCACTGTTTTGTTTAAACTGTTAGTGTAAACTGTAGCTTGATTAAAAAGCGTCATGCTGTTCTGGTTTGTGTCATTTCAGCTGGTTTCTTCAATGATCAGAATTGTTGGTATTGCATTTGGAGCATCATCATAAGTCTTGGAATTGCCGTCTTAGTGTTTATTATCGCATGGATAAATAGACCGTAACGTAAGTCACATGTTAATTTTCATTTTTCTGTTACTGTCAGAGCTCATGGTTGTCTATATAATGAAATGTAGAGGTGAATTTGAATAGATTATATAACATATCCATGATTTAACATTAAAATATACTTTGATATAATGTAGGCAAAATGAAAAACAGAATAGTAAATATAAAATGTGGTGCAGAGGTAGCACTCGTCCAACACCACAGAGTACTGGATACCTTATATCCTGCTTTAGGTTTGTTCAGTACAATTGTCAGTGTTCCCACCTGTATGTCTTTGTCAGTGCACAAACCTAGAGAATTGGAAAATAGAGAACCAGGGGTGGTTTAAGTGATTTGGAGGCCCTGAGCAAAGAAGAAGTTGGTGAAATCTGAACTGCAGAACCCTACTGATTTCACTGGCAAAAATATGCAATTAGTGGCTAGTAACAAAAAAATGATTACTAGTAAAACAGGAATTGTTACTTGTAACTACTAAATAAGTATGGGTAGCTTTTAAATAGCTACTAGTAAGTTTTAAAGACTAAAGTGGCATCAACAAAGAGATCTATTTCTCAATCTATGCCTTCCTCTGGTGGTCAAACTGATCTTAGGCTTTATTCTCTCCTGCGCTTTAACACAGTTTAACGTCTCATATTGAATGATAATGTCATTATTTAGTGTCTCTGAATAATCCTAAATCCTAATAATTTAAAATAATAATACTATTACAATTAACATTCAAAGCTCTCCACAATATGTCTCCTATATGTCATTGACCTCATTCAGACCTGCACTCCATCTCGTTCCCTGCGGTCTTCCACGATAGATCTCTTGGCTCTACCGCACATCAACCTCAGTACAGTGGGTGCTAGGGTCTTCTCCTGCACTGTACCCAAACTCTGGAGCTCTCTTCCCACCCACATCTGTATAGTGGAGTCTATTACACAATTCAAAACTGCTCTCAAAACTCATCTTTTCAAACTAGCATACTCACTGTAATAATGTGACACAGATTTTCATTCACATCACAACATGTAAATGTATACTGTTTGGAGTGTTGATGTCCCATTGTCTGTATCTTTAAATGTGTTTATATTTAATATTGGCAGCTTCCCTTTAAATATTAGTACTTTTCTTTTAAAGTCACATTTAACAAAACCACAATAACATGAGGTTCGAGATCAAAACTGTAATCAATCAATCCCCATCCTGTCAGAATCGGCCAAATCTGATGTTTATATGAGCAGCAGCTCCAGATTTCAGTCTGTGCCATTTTCCCTCTTTTCTGGACATCTTACGTGATTCATAAAATGTCCAGGGGTACACTGAAGGTCAAGCGGTCACCTGATTGTGCGGTAAGTCATGAAATCCACCGTGGTGCATCGTGTGAACTTTCCGACGGATCTCTCTTCCACAGGCGTGTCGACTTTGATCTGCCGCATGTGCATGTTTCTGCCATTCTGGTGGTTGGCCAGGATCATGAAGGTGCTGATCGGTTCCTTTGTTCGCTAAAACACACACAAACACAAACATACACACACATTGGTGCTAATCGAATCTGCAACTTCCTGCCATAAAACACAAACACTTCACACAATGTCCCATGTAAAACAAGGAAGGGCATGATTTTAATTAGTTTTCTTCTAGTAGATACTGATAGGATTCAGATTCAGTACTGATAAGAAAACTTTTTTTCAGTAACTTACTTTAAGAAATATAAAAGTGTTTTTAATTTAAGAAATGTTCTAAAATGTTAAATGCTGTTTGAACACAAAAAGCCCTAGAAGAACTATAAAAGTGGCAAAGTTTTGATTGTAATCAGGAACGCTCAGATCAAGGAATACACAAACATTTAAACTGACTGTACTTGCTTGATACCACAGACACATTTTAGTCAGTACCAAAAAAGTGTTAAGTTCAAATGAAAAATCATAAAAATTTATGTCACAGGTTTTCCACTGTAAAGATCGTAATGTTTTAATATCAAAGTGATGGCAGCTAAACTCAAGTCTTCAAGTGCGGGTGTTTAAAGGGTCAGACAAGGAGGACAAGGGTCACAAGCGCCACATTCAAGGTAATTGTGATTTATAAAGCGAAATCAGCGTAGGACTTCCTGTGTTTTGTACGTACGCAACTTTCCTACGCACAGTTTTATAAATGAAACCCCAGGACTGGTATATGTGGTGAGCGGCTGATGAAGAAGGTGAGAACTGGTGAGCAGGTGCTGGAAACATGTACAAAGGAGACGAAAACTAAGGGAAGTTACCAAAAGCAAAGTCACAGAACAGGCAGAGAGGAAATGTTGTTCCCTAGTGGTTAGGACTATAAAGGTTGAAGTTCTAACAATCATAAATCACTCCCTGATTTCCCAGAGCCACTGAAACCTGCACTTCAGAAACCTCTCATAAAGAAAGATAACTTGGATCACTTAGTACTTTATTTTTTGAGTAAAATCCTGGAGGAGCCACTACTGTATACAGACAGCTAACTGATTGCTAAATTTCAACTGTATATTTGAGAGGTTTCAGCATGGCTTTTGTTCTCTCCATAGTTCTGAGACAGCACTAGTTAATGTAGTAAATTACCTGAGAGGGAACATAGACAATAATAAACTCTATATTAGTTTTATTAGGTTTAAGCACCACATTTGACAAAGCAGATGGCATACTCAGATTGCAGAACTGTATTGGACTCACTGGCTCAGTCTTGTTTAGGCTTAAATGTCTGAGAGAGAATTTCTGGTATCCCTTGGTGACTATTCCTCAGCCAACACTAAGGTAACATTTGGCGTTCCTCAAGGCTTTGGGGGGCCTGTGTTGTTCAGTCTCTATATGCTGCTACTGGGAAACATCATTAGAGAACATGGGATGAACTTTCACAGCTATGCTGATGATACACACAATTACACCTGTCTCTCAGTGCATTGATCATATCAATTTATGTGTGTCGCATAACTTCCTGCAACTGAACAAACAAAAGACAGAGGTTTTAATCATTGGTGAAAAGGCCCAGAGAGATTTATTTTGCACCACCTTGAAATCTCCTAAAATAAAGTTTTGCCGTGGTCTTAGACACTTAAATTTAACATCATTAAAAATGTGTTTTACCATCTCAGGAACATCTCTAAGGGCCCGTGTCCACCAAAGCATTTTTTTTCTAGTCTAGTTAGATTTTTTTTTAAATAGTTCCGTCCTCTTCTGATTTGGGATTATAAGCAGTAAGCCACTTGCATTCTCCTTTTCTGTGTTACTGTCAGGGCCTTTTTTGGCTGTAGCGATACTTAGGGGTTGATACCAAAGCATCAGTGGATTACAGTATATAGCGCAATGTTCATGATATACAGTATATACTTTCGATATGATGTAGGCAAAATAATAAAAACGGAATAGTAAATATAAAATGTGATGCAGAGGTAGCACTCGTCCAACACCACAGAGTGCTGGATACCTTGTATCCTGCTTTAGGTTTGTTCAGTAAAATTGTCAGTGTTCCCACCTGCATGTCTTTGTCAGTGCACCAGTGACTCTTACTGGTTGGTCTGGGAGCCTGTTACAGAGGAGGGGCCGATCATTGGAACAAGAACATCCACCATAATATGAAGAAGAAAATAAAGAAGTGGCACTCGTCTCAGATGTTTTGTTCCTCATATTAGAATGAAAACTTTAATGTTGTACCTGTAATGCAAAATGTCTTTTCTCCTGTCATTTTGATGTAAAATATTTTCAGCTCAACCATCATATTTCTGTTCTGCTACATTAGTTTCTCATTTTCACTATTTGAACACAGAATGTTTTAACCAACCGATTTCTTCTTCTTTTTGCACACAGGGATCAAAAAGATTCTGAATGGGTAATGCAGACTTCAAAAGTCTATAGTGAAAAAGGAAATAAACAAGATTAAGGCTGACGGTCTCAAGTTGTCCAAATTGAGAAAAGGAACAGAGAGCAGCTGGGGAACGAAGAGAGGGTGCAGATCAACAGAGAGGAAAGAAGAGAGAAAGAACAAGCAAATCAACTATGAAAGACAGAGAAACCACTAAAAAACAAACATGTTATTAGCATTACAGAAAAAAAGACAAACAAAGAACAGTGAGGGAAAATGTAGAAGATCGAGGAACTGGGGAGGACACTTCAGTCAGTGAAGACGATGGACAGAAATAAGATGCCCTCATGATACAGCAGGAAGAACTGTGGAGATGAACCTGAACTTCAGGAAGAGCAACACAGAGACAGCTGACAGTTTATAACACAATGCATGCTGCAAATTTATGTTTGGTCTCATGACCTTTTATTTCAATTTGGTCCTCGTTGATTGTTATTTTGTTTTTTACGTGCTGACAAAGTGATGTGACATAAGTTTTTGTTTGAAAGGTGTGTGCACGGCATCGTGTTGAATATAATTTTTTTGCCATGAAAGGAAGTTGTTGTAATTTGACTTTCCATGGTCAGATCTGCACCAAACTTTACTTGATTAGATTCCCGGCCTGCAGACAAATAGGCCTACATGAAAAGTAGAAGTCATTGTCATTGTGCCACCAGGAAGTAAGCGTCACGTGACAATAACCATTTGATTTAGATTTTTACAGTGTGGTCCACACTTGATGTACTGGAACCTAAATTTTAAATAGGTGTCCTCTAACACCAAGTAGGCAATGGTGCCGCCAGGGAGTGACCACCCCAGTTGCCCCCCCCCTCGCAAGGAGCATATGCATAAAATGCTATATACTGTTTATATTATGTAACCCCTTGGTTTGAGTTAACAGGTGAATAGCAGCATGAAAGTGTTCTCATATTAGGCTCTGTCACTTTACACCTCTGACCCTGAGGTGTGATGTTTATTTTAGGAGAGGCCTCCGATTCATCCATGTAGATGGCAATCACGTTTCTAAAATTGTGACTGGTTAAGGGGCGGGACTAACACGCATTGCAGAGCAGAGTACACTGGTGTTGTGCCAATGTATGTGTTTTCTGCGGAGGCAGCAACAAGCTGCAGAAGAAAGAAAAGTCTAATTTAATTTATGTAGAGAGACAGTTAGTAGCCTGGCTAGTTTATAATAAGTTTGTCACACTGCTACACAGTTTTGTGTATTGTACTGTGTGTGAGAGCTAATAGTCTGCAGATAGCAACAGGTTAGCACCATCGGTAACAGCAAGCTAACGTCATACGAACACTGGAGCTCCTGACAGCGTGGTGTGTGACCGGCTGTTAACATTATGCTTCGAGGGAGACCGTCCTGTGCCTGTTTTCATCTTCATCTTTCTGAGAGGATTCCAAAACATGAGAACAGCGGGAGTCATCTGGACGATGCTGTGAAACTGTGCTCAATGTTACTTACGCCCAACAGGCGCTCCAGTGAGTAGCACAACAAACACTGTGGGGCCACAGCGAGTTGGCGGACTGTCTGAAAAACTTCAGTCACCCAGAAGTTTGCCCAGAGGAAAAAACGCCGGGCTTCATGCTGAAATGATCAAATAACTGCAACTGACCTTTTGTATCTGCCATCTGCTGTGTTTATTGTGTATTGAAAGCTGTCCTGGCTGCAGTTTTGGTGAAGGTGAACTGATCACTAATGATCTGTGTATGTCTGATAAGTTACATGAAATAAAGACTATTGTAATTGAGGCACCTTTGCCAATGTGACGTCCATCAGTCTACCAACAGTAGCCCGCCTTTTGAAGAGGCTCCAGGTATCAGTGAAACAAATACTTAGTGCCTTTTGAGAGAAACAATGACCAGTTGAAACAACTGAGGGACGTTACAGGTACAGCACTATATCCATCCATCCATCCATCGTCCACCCCCTATATCCTGCGTACAGGGTCGCTGGAGCCAATCCCAGCTGACATCGACCTGGACAGGTCGCCAGTCCATCGCAGGGCTACACATACACAAACAACCACTCACGCTCACCAATCAACGTAGCCCATGTGTCTTCGGATGGTGGTAGGAAGCCGGAGCACCCGGAGAGAACCCACACAGACACGGGGAGAACATGCAAAGGCCGGGGAAACCGAGGTTTGAACCCACAACCTACTTGCTGTGAGGCGACAGTGCTAACCACTGCATTGCAGTGGTTGAGTGGACTTTATCAGTTTTACATTTGTTTTTCAGTGCTGCTCCACTGAGGCGCGCTGCGTGCTAATAACAATGTAACGAGGTCTCCCGCAGAATGTAACAGACTAAAAGGTTTGTATTTGGACTAGAAATGTGCTAAAGTAAAAGGTAAAAGTTAAAAGTAAAATACAAATCTAGAAATAAAACTATGTAAGCACAGTAACAAAATACTTTCCACCATAATAAATAAATGTTACCAGGTATCACTGTTGAGTGTCTCTGAATTATATAGTGAATGCAGAGCGAACACAAACTGTTTCACTTCCTCTGCCCTCCTTCCTCTCTATACAGCTAAACAACCACAACAACTTCCACACACCATCAGAGGCATGCACAGATCAGTCAGCATTCATCATCATCATCATCATCATCTAGCATAACAGTGTACCTTCAACTTATACAAGTGATTTAATGCTGCCACTTTTGAATGAACATCTGACACAAGCTTGAAGCTGTGGAACTAGAAATAATTTCAACATATTAAAAGTTCAGGCTATAAATAAATATAGAAATTATTGTGGGTCTTGTTCAATTTGTAGCACTTTCAACATGATTAGTAGTGATTAGAAGTATATTGTGAGTATTCTTGTTTTTTTGTCTTCTGATGCTGAGGCGCACATGAGTTTAGCTGCTGTCATTTTGATTCACCATCGGTCATCATAGCCTACTGAGCAAAACCCAACACATTGGTAGATATTAGCCCAAGATCAGGGCTGCCACACAGAAGGAATGAACCCACTGAGCACAACAGGCACGGGTGACGAAAGTTTATTTAGCTTACACTAGGTAATTCACAGGCAAAAGTACAGAGTCTAAAGGCTGGTAGCTTGGTCAGAAAAACACAGGTTTGATACAAAGGGAAACAAAACTCTAGGAATACGCTGGAACACTGTTGCTGGGAACTAGTAGATCTAGCAACTATTGCAGTGGAGGTGTGGGTATATCATGTTGCTTTCAGCCTTTTAATCTCTTGCCAAAAAGCTGCTTTTCTTCTGCCACAATCTTTCAGCCATGGATCATTGTTTTCTTGGCAGAACAATTACAGACAGCTAACTAATCACTTTTAAAGATTAAATCAGTAGTAGTAGTATGAGAGCAGCAGGCAGGAGGAGCGAGGAGATGCAGCTGGGGATTGTGCAGAAGTATCGTGAGAGGGGAGGAACCTGAAGCTCAGCCAAAAAACAAGTTAAGAGCACAAAACAACGATCACAAAGAAACACCAGAGAACTGAAGAGTCATTCCACAACAAAGGCGGAACAATCTGTGACAAAAGAGCAGAGAGATGATGCGCTGATAGAAGACAGATGTAAAGATGAGACAGGTGCCAGGAGAGGTCATGCCCACAACACACAGACACACAGACAGACAGTGAGGTTTTCTCAGCTGAGGAATGTCATGTTTACATGTTTATCAAGCGGTAACAGCACAACATCATATTCGTCATTCTGCAGGTGAGAGTTGCTTTTTAAAGTAAAACTTATATTATAGTATATTGTTGGATACTGTGGTGTATTTGGGATGTTTGATGCATGATAGTTTTGTCGTAATTCTAAAAGCATGATTAGCGTAAAGTGTGTTAAGAAAGATTGCTGACTCTCGTATAAACTCAAGAAATTAATGTGCAGCTTTAAACAATTGTTTACTCTTTGTCTCAGTTTCTGTGTATGAAAATGTGTTGATCCAGATTGAATGGGGTTCTGTTGCTCTGCAGACAAATTCTTTATGTTGGATCATTGAAGTCTACATCTTACTCATTGATCTAGTTGTGCGCCTCTCACTCCTCTTTCTGGACTGGTTAGAGCCAGTTTACTCTGTTCTGTGAAGGGAGTAGTAGACAGCATTGTACAAGATGTTCAGTTTCAGTTTCTTGCGTGGAATAGCTTCATTTCTCAGAACAAGAATAGACTGATGAGCAAGCAGAAAAAAATTTTGTTGCTTCTTTAATCAGCACAACATCTGTGTGAAAGAGAGAGAGAGAGGCAGTGTTATATAAATCACAAAATACATTTGTGAATCCTGTGTGTATGTCAACACCTAACAAAAAGCATAAAAAGCATAAGGTTCCCTTCAGTCTAAAGGTTTAGGCCAGTCTAAATAGATGCATTGCTTTGTAAGTCATAACACATGCATGCGGTCTTCAATCAGATTACACCGTCTACCCTGTTGAAAAAAAGTAAGTAAAGACATGTATTTGTGTCTCGTTCATGAAAACAACCAGAAAAGGCTTTTCTGTATTAAAATTTTTGTTTTTGTTTTTCAGGGCTCCAGGATGCTGCATCCAAAGACAGAGTCCAGTGAGAAAGTCTCCTCCAGGACCTGCAGTGTTTTGCTGTTCATCATTCTTCTAATACAGTCCGTTGGAGGTAATTTCAAAGAAAAACACTTCAGTAATCATGCTGATGATGTATTCTGACCAAAACAAAAAACCTCCAATCCCTCATATCCATTTCTGTAACAATGACTTCATCAGAGGAGGCGATAAAAATCAATGACACTGTAATCATTCACATCAAAACCACTGCATCAGTTTATTGGCACTACAATACATTTATTATAAAATCAGTCTACAGTCACACTGGTAGCACTGTGAGGTTAATGCTATCTTAATGCTAATGTCAGTATGCTAACATGCTCATAATGACAATGATTTGAAGCAGATATAAATTTGACCTTGTTCACCTTTTTAGTTTAGTGTGTTAGCATGATTTTAATCGTTAATTTGAAGTAAACAGAAAGCACAGCTGGGGCTGATAGGAGTCTCATTAGTTCTGCAGGTATTTGGTCATAAAGTATTGGACAAATTAAAGTTGGGACTGATGGTGACGCTAGAGGAAAAGTCAGAAGGATCAATACTCTTGAACCATGAATATCTGTGCAATATTTAATGGGAATCCAAACCTTCTCAAAGTGGTGGACCAACGTTGCCATCCCTAAAAACTCCACTGAATCCAAATTTCTTTGCATTGCTGTACTTCACCCTGTTACAGGACTGTTTATAAAATGGTGGTAGGAACATTTTCTCTCAGTCTGATACTTTCTGAGACTTTTTATGGTTAGATAATGTCACAGGGTCACAGGCTGACTCAGAAAAAACTGCGGTCAACAAGAAAAGTAGAAAGCGAAAACAACAATGTGAAGGAAATTCTTGTAAGTCCACTCTTCTGCAAGATGAAGGTTTTCAGGAAATTTAGCATTGTTTGCTCTATATGTGTTGCCATCCTACTGGATGCTTAACTGCTTTACCTAAGTCACATTGACAACTAGAGGTCACATGTGTTGCACACTAAGTGGAGAAACATCTAAGACTGAAAACATAGATCAAATCTGGCCTCTGCCCCTACATAAAAGCCATTCCTATCAGGGCAGCTGTCTTGTTTACTGTAATTATGCCAAGACGGCAGACTGTATTTGACTTCTAGATCTGACAGTGACCCTCGAGCATGACATGTAAATGACCCATGGCTCATCTATTGCCACAGAACCATAGACTGTACAGAACTCCACAAAAGACAATTCCCTCTCAAACAAGACTTTTCCAGCTTCATGTTAAACACCATAATGCTGCCCTACACTATAAATGTGCTTGAAGCTCAAAATATTTATGACTTTTAGGATTTTGATCTTTTCCATGTTTTAATGCAGCTCTGAGACATTTAATCGATTATTATATATAAAAAAAAGTCACATTGATGACATATTATAACTTTGCTCATGTTTGTACTTTTATTTACTTTGCAGCTCAGTCAGAGTTGACTTGTTCACATAAACCAATCGTAGCCCTGGCTGGTGATGATGTCATTTTACCATGTCACCTTGAACCTGCAGTCAGCGCCAGTTCTGAGACAGTGGTGTGGACCAAACCTGGTTTGGAGCCAGAGTACATCCATGTTCACCAAGATGGACGACTGATATTTCAGAGGCAAAACCCGTCTTATCATTTCCGAACAGCTCTGTTTGTGGATGAACTGATTAAAGGAAACGTCTTCCTAAAACTCTCCAGTGTGAAAATCTCTGATGCAGGAAAATACTTTTGTTTCCTTCAATCAATGCAGAAGGAAATTTCCATCCAGCTCACTGTTGGTGAGTCAGACTGCAGCTTTATTCACTTAGTAATAAAATATTCTGTGATGCACTGCTTTTATCATACAGAATAGAGTTTCAGGGCCACATGTGATAAAAATGTATTTGAGTTCTGAATTTAAACTAAAGACTCAAATAACCCGTGGCCCTAATACTCTTCCACAGCATGTTCGACTAACATGTGTACAAAAGGCAGTTGAGCAATTTATTATAAGTACCCAGCTTTGATAAAACACAAATCAACAAAGTAAAAGAGGAACACTTCAAAATGCAAAATCCGAGTAAAATTAACATTTACTGGCAATAAACATTAAAGGTGCCCTTGTCTCTTGGCACATTACTGCCACCTGTAGATCAGTGGAACAAAAAGTGCATTTGACTTCATGCAACAGTTTGCAGTGCTGACTTTACGTGATGTTTGTCTGGTTAGAAATTGTGTCCGACTTTCGCCCACACTGCAAAACTTCACCATGTCACATGACATTGAAATCTCAGCTCATCATACTGCAAAACTCATGCAAGATGTCTCTCTCTTTCACAAAGGATGTAGAAAGGCTTGCACAGTAAGCTATTTCCATTATATTGTATTATTGTATTCTACAGTGGATTTGGATTTTTTTGTTGATTAATTAAGCCAAATGTAACTCAGCTGTCCCCTTCATTTAATTGTGATTTTATCTGAACAGTGTTCAAAGGAAAAAAGAAACTACAGGCAGAAGAAGATGAAGTGAAGGAAACTTTTAAAGGTTTAACACTGTTTGATCATTTGGTACTACATTTAGCTAAATTATTGTTTTTGTGTGTGAGCAGGAAGTGTGGGAAGTTTTGATTAGCTCGTTTTATATTGGAGCTATTTTTTCAACTATTCTGCCAATACTTTTTGTTCTTCTGTACTTTTATCTGTCTTTTGTCAATTAACCAACCCTCTAGCTTATTTTGTTGTCTTGAAATCATTGCTGAATCACATAAGCAATTTGATGTGCTGTGGATTTAATGAGGTCAGAGAGGTTTGGTCATTTGAGAAACTGAGCTCAAAGGCCCAATGGTTCTTAGCTGAAAAAAGATTGCATTGGGTTTGAATATGCATCAGTGCTTTTCAATATAGTGTGGAATGGGTGAAATGTTACTAAGGAACATTTAGCATGTGGATAATTACCTGCTTCATAAATAATTCAACTTTCAAGGCAGACTAATCTTTGGTAGTTTGCCTCTGAGTGATTGTCTCCATATGCTGCGATTACTGTTAATGAAATAGAGCTTGTAATTATTATTCAGCTGTTTAGCACACCACTACCCTTCTCATGGGGCGGCTGTGCAGCTGTGGCTCAGGAGGTAGAGCAGGTTGGCCGTTGATTGGAAGGTTGGCGGTTCAATCCCTGGCTCCCTCTGGTTGCATGTTGAAGTTTACTGAACCCCGAATTGCCCCTGGCGGCTATTCCGGCAGTTTATGAGTGAGTGTGAATGTTAGTTTCCTTTTTTGAGCACTTAGCTCAGTGTATGAATGTGTTTCACTGGGGAATGCAGATGTAGTGTAAAAGCGCTTTGAGTGGTCGAAAAGACTAGAAAGGCGCTATACAAGTACGGAGCATTTACATTCGTGGGTAACGTAACAGATAAAATCATTGATTCCTAGTGAGAAAGTCTCCTATTAACTTTCCACCACGCAGTGCAGTGACTCGACTAACAGCAAACACACACACACACACAAAATTAATGGATTGATTAATAAATCAATTGTAAAGAGAGTTTGCTGAGAAAGAAACTGAAAAAAAAAAATTGCTTCCTGAGTAAAGGCACATGTACTTGTGCGAAAGAGATCAGACTCAGAGTAAGACTCAATAGTAAACAGGTCAACATAAAGAAACATACAGAAATAAACAACAATGCTAACCAGACCACAGGGCCATTATGTGTCTGTGAAAGTCTGACTTGAAACATGAGGCTCTGTAGTGTTGTATTCTACAGTAATAAAAACCCTAAAGAATATCTGAACCTGCCTTTATTTTCATCATCTTGGTTACTCACATTTACACTTGTACTCGATTCACACATAGCAATGTGGATTACTGTTTGAATGGCACTGACTAACCAATAACAGTCTCTCTCCAAGCAACTTCTACTATTTGGCAGCTGAAACTCTGCTTTACTTACAAAGTTGTTCAATGCAAATTAATCTGAACAAAACCCAGGTAGTTCTTGAATGCCATGGCTAGCTAGCTTGCTAACAAAATGCTACATGTAAATAAGACAATCTGGAGCCTTTGGAAGATTTATCGTGAACACGATATTTCAGGAACGCCTTGTGGGAATGTGTTCAAATGTGGCACAAATGTCCACTTGGACTGAAGGATGAACTGATTAGAGTTTGGTGGTCAAAGGTCAACTTCACTGTGACACCCTAAAGTCCTTTTTTGGCCACACCATAACTCAGGAACTCAGGAAGGGGAGATTGTGTCCACATTTTGTAGTTTCACAGGACAATGAGTAGGTGATACTTGTGAGTGAAAGGTCATTGTGACCCCAAAATATTGTTTTAGCCATCACTTAAGAATGAATTGTACAACATTGCAGATTTCATAGACGTTGACTGGGACGACACCATGAGTAAACAATAACTGGTACAATATGGGCTTTCCTTCATCTAAGCCATTCTGCATTTGAGGATCATCGGAATCATGTGACTGCAACAATGTATTGGAGCGAATCCAGCGTTTTGCGTGGCTTGATTACATACAAAGTCAATGCAAAGATGCAAATTCGCTCCGGGCAGTGCGGAAGATGCGTTTGTTGCAACATTCGTTGGTTTGCTAGAGTTCAAATTTTTCAACTTGAGTGACAAATTCGCACGACACTATGTTTTGTAAGCCTATCAGTGGTGAGATTGTCCAGACGTCACAGACGGCTTCAGAGCATTGTTTGGAGAGGACCACCCAGAGCAGAGGAGTGAAAAGCCCATGGCCGACGGAGACCAGCTAAACTACGGGTAATTGTAGAAGAAAGAGCCGGGAGCAGCGCCGCAGCTTTTGGACAAATAAACACCTGTAGTCCATCTGGATTATGCTCTGACAACTATGCCATTTACTAGAGGTTAGGAGCTCAGAGTTAACTGCTTTTATTAAATTAGCTTTTTACTTTAGTTTTTGGGATTACAAGCTTCTCAGCAGCTAGCTTCCATGCACCCTCTTCTACTACTACTTCATATTTATATAAAAACCAGACAAAACTGTGCATTGCTGGGAGAAAAGAAAGCGAGGAAGTTACCTGGTGAGTTCATAAAATAAGTGTGTAATTTTATTCCAGCTATTGTTTTACTTTACTGTGAACAAATTAGCCTAGCTCTGATCGATCTGAACTCCATTCAGAAAACAAACATTTAACAAAGTTGTTGTCCTGCTGACTTGCTGACAGACCTGACAAAGCATGAATTCATATGTTTAACAAATCTGCACCATGTTGTAGTTATTTTGGCATCAGTTTGATACGTTTATTGCAATTAAACAGCAAAATGTTTACTTTGGGTTCAAACAGCTGCAATAATGGTGAGTTGTATTTATTCATTTATCGCGTTGTGTGTGAACACTTGGCAGTGATAAAACCTACATGAGGAAAGCGTTGCGAGGATTAAATTTGCGTTTTATGTGAACACACCATTAGTGAGTATAAGACTAAGATTCCATCTTTACTCAATAAATGTGTATCTGTTTAGCCAATACATCTATGATAATCCTTCATTAATCAGTTTAACAACAATAATCATTGTCAACAGACATGGATGTAAACTGCATCTTGACCTGTCAATGGAAAGATGCAACCACATGGTGGTACTTCTACTTTATACCAACTGGCAGTTTCTCCCTGCCCTCAGTGTTTGAGCTAATAGGCTTAACACAACCTGGAGCAATCAAACAACTGAATACACCCTAAAAGAAAAAAAAGAAAAGTAAAAAATTTTAAAAAACTTGCAGGGGCAAGGTGGCTGCAGGCGTTAATTCTGGCGACCGCAGTTGCTTTTCTCTGGCTGTACAAAGTTAGAACCGCTTTTTGTCTGATCTCGCAGCATTTGCAAAGACAAATAACAGTGTGAAATGTGGCCAACTCGATGCCGGTGTTTTTATTCCCTGCCCCTGTAGTCACCTGCAGCTCAAGTTTGACTATCAAGTCGGCGAAAATCAACAGGAGTCATCTCGAACGCACCTAATGATAAACCAAACAGGGACCCACTGATAAAATAAACTCACAGCGGTCAAACACACCACAGTGACTTTAAATTCCACATAATAACAGCTGATGGTGATGATTTACTATAAAGGGCAGCAGTGCAGAGAAGAAGACTGTAAATCTTTTATGAGGTAGTAAATACACTTAACATGGTGGTAAAGGTCGACCTTTTCTTTAAAAAGTGTTTTAATATATCCAACGAGGGTTAAAATGAAGGGCAACTGTTTTAATATGAAGGGCAACTGTTTTAATATAGTTTAACAATGATACAAATTAGTGACATTTTATATTATAAGTGTTTTTGATGTAAACCCACTGTACCTCTCTCCTCCTCAGGTGCTGTCTCCTCGCCCATCATACAGGTTGTCTCAGATAACAGTGACAGTGTGGTGTTTCAGTGTGAGTCTGCAGGCTGGTATCCAGAGCCTGAGGTGTTTTGGCTGGACAGTGAGGGAAACCTCCTCTCTGCTGGACCTACAGAGACAGTCAGAGGTCCTGATGACCTCTATACTGTCAGCAGCAGAGTGACTGTGGAGAAGAGACACAGCAACACCTTCACCTGTAGAGTCCAACAGAAGGACATCAACCAGACCAGAGACACACACATCCAGGTTACAGGTTAGAAAGAGTTCTGTAGAAATTAAACATGATGTCTATGTTTTAAACAGTTGAAGTCTAGTTGGATTTAAAAGCATCATGCTGTTCTTTGTTGTATCATTTCAGCTGGTTTCTTCATTGATCATTGTTGTTGCCATTGCATCTGGGGAATCATCATTACTCTTGGAATTGCTGTCTGTGTTTTCATTATTATCAAACGAACAACTTAAACGTAACGTAAGATACATATTCATTTTCCTTTTTTGTGTCACGTTACTTTCAGAGCTCCTGTCACTTATGACTGTATAGTGACATGTAGGGGTTAAATCCGAAGCATCAATAGGTTATACAACACCTTATCACTAATTTAAATTAAAATATATTTTGATATATAGGCAAAATGAAAAGCAGAACAGGAAATATAAAATGTTGTACAGATGGTGCAGAGGTAGCACTCGTCCAACACTGCTTTAAGGACACTGCTTTAGGTGTTCCCACCTGTATGTCTTTGTCAGGAAACAAACAAGTGGCACTTGTCTCAGATGCTTTGTTCCTCATATAGAATGAAAATTTATATGTTGTACCTGTAAAGAAAATGTCTTTTCTCCTGTCATTTAGATGTAAAAATATTTTCAGCTCAACCATCATATTTCTGTTCTGCTGCTTTAGTTTCTCATTTTTACAAATTTTCTTTTCTAAGGAAAAACTACATGAACACAGAAGGTTTTAACAGATTTCTTCTTCTGCTGGCACACAGGGACCAGGAGGAACAAGAAAACTGACGGAAACGAAATTAAGGCCGGCGTTCTCGAGTTGTCCAGATTGAATGGGCTAAAGGAACTGGAGAACCAGGGAGCAACTGGGGAACAAAGAGAGTGCAGACCAACAGAGAGACGAGGAACAAACAAATAAGAAAAGAACAAAGTGAAAATGGAGAAGAGGAACTGGAGAGGACGCTTCAGTCAGTGAAGACGATGGACAGAAATAAGATGCCCTCGTGATACAGCAGGAAGAACTGTGGAGATGAAACCTGAACTTCAGGAAGAGCAACACAGAGACAGCTGACAGTTTATAACACAATGCACGCTGCAAAGCAGTTTTTCATACAATGTGACTTTAAAACAAACTAACAGAGATTATTAAATCTGTAAAAGATAAGCAAATGAACATGTCACCAGTGCAGCAATGTGACTCGACTACAATGAAGCTCTATGGCACAGAGGAAGATAAAAAAAATCAACAGCTTTAGTAACTTTAAAGATGACAATTTATCATCCCCCTCCTATATTGTTATTATTGAAATATTGTTCCTGTATGAGCGGAGAAGATTTGCCTCCTAAAAGCTAAATAAACTATTTAATGCTTTTAGGCTTTTTCCCTCTCCTTTATTGAGTTATACTCCTTTTTTGTGCATGTAATAGGTTTGCAAAGTGAAAAAGCCCAAAGTCCACCCCAAAGGGAGTTCCCATCTCCAACAGAAAAGTCATGCTTGAAAACAACTTATTTGTAGCCTAAACAGGGCATATGTGGTTCTCATAGGACAGCGACACTACAAAAATATAATGATCTTATAAACCATGATGGATTGTTGTATGTTAAACCACCCAATAGAGTAAAAAGGAGGAAAATCTGTTAAATCTTAAACATCTACAGCAGTAAAATGCAACATACACATTAATGCAGCAGGAACATTAATCCAGAAACATCAGATATAATAGTGAAAAACTGACAGGGAACATTTTATTATACTATGAGTGCTTTTAATTTGATACTTTAAGTACAGCAGGAATATTACTACTATTACTAATATAAACCACTTGCATACTTTTAATGCAGGACTTTTACTTGTAGTGGAGTATTTTCACAGTGTAGCCTACTTTTACTACTTTTAGTTCAGTAAATGGTCTGAATATTTGTTCCACCTCTGGTGCTTTTTACCGTGATGATTATCTGAGCAAATACTATGTATAACAAGCTAATAAGATAATTTAAAGCTGAATGGATCAGATGGGTCAGAGTGATTTTCTGGTTGAGTTCAGCACCATGGACAGAGACAGTGGACGACCACCTGTCTGTCCAGCACCTGCTGTTTCTTTCACTGTGAGTTACTGGATCGACTCTATATGGGGTATTTATACATGAGTCTGAATTTTAAAAGCAATGTCACTGTAATTATTCACGTCAAAACTAATTTTTATAAAGTTCTACAATCATTATAAATGAATACGGTCACACTGGTGAGGCTTCACTAACTGTAGTTTGAGCTTAATGGTAAAATGCTAACATGCTCATGTAGACAGTTGAAAACAGGTAACTTTGTGTGACCTGAAAGTCAGTTAAGAGAAGAATATGTATAGAGAGAAAAAACAGACACCCCTTTTTTGGTTGTTCTTTTAATTGATTTCATCAATCACATACTTTTATTTAATTTTGAGTCAACATATGGTTATTTGACAGCCATGCCACTAGAGGGCGCATCACACTTGGGTGATATAGGATAGTATCTCAGGCACGCATGCACTGAAAAAAGTCAACATTGCTGTTGTTCATTTAATGTGTATTGTGAGAGCCATTTGGTTTAATATTTATTATTTCTTGTTGTTAAACCTCACGCCACCAGGGGTAGCCATGGCGCTGTCAATTTGGCTGCGCCAGACTTAATTTAATCAAGGTCCAACAAGGCACAGGTGTTCCGAGACAGAGAGGGGAGCAAACAGGTTTTTGACCGTGCAACTTGCGATGTGGTAGGAGGAATGAAAGTGGGGTTATTGTATTTCCTTTTATATTTATACCTATGATGTACTTGTGTAATGGACACGACATTAGTTTAAAATAAATCCGTACTGGCAACATTGGACATTGAATCTATATTTCACGCGTCATAAATAATAATCATCCAGTCCATATCCCTCAAAGACCTGCTGCGTCTCTCTACATGCTTGCCCTTTCCCTCGGACCACATTCGCTGCAGTGCCTTTCTTCTTTTTTCACTCCATTGCCAGCGGCCTGCGGTGCAATCACTTACACAGAGGCGCATTTTCTAGACTAAGTCAATGGCGCTTCTAGGGACTTTACTATGCGCCTTGTCTGTGTGAGATTTACGAGCAAGCGATCGTTCCGGAGTGAGTACATCTAACAATGTGGATTGCCCGCTGAATTTACCCCTACATGTCACTGTGCAAACACGGCTGGATGAGGACATGAATTTAGCATGCATGCTACCCAGAGACCTACCTAGTCTTCAAAGCCTCTTGGCTTTGAATAATTACTTTGCATTCAATGAGAGATCTCGTTGGGACTTTATGTATGAACTGTCTAAGGAATCGTCATTTAATGTTGCTACACGAAGATTGTTGATTGTTTTACTTATCTGGCAACGTGCAACCTAATCCTGGCCCTGAGTTGCAATGTATTCAGATGCCATCTGATTGTAAATCCTTGTCGATATATCACAATGATTGTGAAAGACATTTGTGGTGATGGTATGATATTTAAGACCAAGCATTGCAGTTCATGATCATTCAGCCATTGAATTTCCTGACACTGAATATTGTTTTATTTTTAAGTCCAGTTGTCAGAGATGATTGTGTCGGTGTTGTTTATTTAGTCTTCTTGGTAAACTTATTGTAAAGTGGTGGGTAGACCACAGCATGCACGTGCAGAGGGGGGTGCAATGGGTGTTTGAGCACCTGACCTAGTACAAGCACAGTTGATCCACATCCAGCTACAGCCAGTACTAGCACAAACCCAGTCCAGACATCTTTAGCAGGTCTCACAGACCCAGGTGAAGTGCAGCCTCAGCCAGTACGAACACAGCCACCATCAGATACATTATGGCTATGGCAGAAATTTGCTTATGGCCACAGGGAAATCAGCACCGGCTGTGCCTACATGTTATACTGTGTTAGTGTGTCTGCATTTCCCTGTTATTTCTCCCCTCCCTCTCTGTCATTGGTATGCCCCTACCCTCCTCTCATCCCCCATCTACCTGTAGTTTCCAGCAAGGCTTTCATCTGTTCACACCATTTTCCAATCATTCCTCTGAGGAGTTGGTCAAACTTCCTAGCAGAGTTAACAGTTGCCATTCTGCAGGTAAGCTGCATTTTAAAGTTAACTTTTATATTAAATGTTGTTTATCAAAAGTTCACAATCTTTGACTGTTCAAACAATAAGATTATTTTGTAAATTTAAAAGCAAATTCGCAATGTTGTTTGTGATCATATATAAAGCCTGTGTGTGTGTGTGTGTATATGTATGTGTGTATATATAAAAGAAATTAATTATTGTATACAAACATTTTTAAAGGTAACTTTGAACACCATTTATAAAGTCCAAACTATTAAAAGGTAAAACTCTGAAAAATTGAGGGAAAGATTGTATTTATACTTCAGGAAGACCCAAATAAAGCAAAAGGATAAAGATACTGCCACCCGAAAGCAAATGTTCTTTACCCGTTTGCATGCAATTTGCATGTGTACTTCATGTCGGGCAACAACAGGTCACGTTGGAGAGTCGTATGAGTTGCTTTTTAAACTAAAACTGTATAGTAAATGTGGGATATTTTGTAATCTTTGTTGTTAAAACAACACTTTAGAGATGCTGAATTGTAAATGCTCCGTATTTGTATAGCGCCTTTCTAGTCTTTTCAACCACTCAAAGCGCTTTTCTGCATTCACCAGTCACACACATTCATACACTGAGCCTAAGCTCAAACGGAAACTAACATTCACACTCATTCATACACTCATTCATTCGGGGTTCAGCATCTTGCCCAAGGATGACACGCAACCAGGGGGAGCCAGGGATTGAACCGCCGACCTTCCGATTAACGGCCAACCCGCTCTACCTCCTGAGCCACAGCCACCCCATAATTAATTAATAATTAAAAACTTTGTCACACCACACTGAGGCACAATTTAGAATGGCTTGAAATTTTATTAAATTAGAAAATGTTTTAAAGGATACGTCTATTAATACAAAACTCACATCCCCATATAAAGTTTAAGTGTGTTTTAAGTTTTAGTGACATCAAGTGGTGAGGGTTGCGAATTGCATCTCCCCTCTCCTATCCAAGCGAGTTGTATAGCTGCAGTGCCTGAGACAGGACAAAAGACGTTATCTATGAGATAACAGTTTGTCAAGAAATTAGTTTTCTTTAGATATATTAACAAATTACATTTACTTAATTCTTCAGTAAAACCATATGTTGTGAATATTTGTTACTTGTTCATTAATAAACAACAGCCACATCAAGAAATGAAGTGCTACATGATGTCTCATACTCCCGTAATACATTATTTTACAACTTGGGAGGGTTGGCTCATCTGGACTAACATACCAAAGAAAAAGAACACATCCAGTGCATCAAGTATGACCACTGACAGATAACAGGACAGTGTAAGCCTCACTATTTCTGCACCACAATAAACCACATGATACATTAAGCTTACGAAGGCTGGGGAGGATCTAGGCTCCTCTTACTTTGCTTAATATTAGATAAGCAATCTGCAAATCTTACCAAAATGTCTTTTTAATTTTTTAAAATACAACAGAAACAAAGTAGTACTGAAAGCCATAATTTAAGCTTGTGGTAAAATGTGCAACATTTTTAATGGGCATTTAGCATGTGAAAGTATAAATTACACATTTGGTGTACAGTAGTGAAGTAATATCCAATAATGTTCTTTTTAATGTAAATTCTGAAAGTATTCATTATTACTTGATAGGCACACAGTCTTGTTTTATATCACCATTGGCAGTGAAAAAGTAATACGTTTTCCACCAGGGCAGTAAAATGTGAAGTTTAGCTGCTGATCTGAGCTTCCCTGCCGTTACCATTTTAATACGGCACATTTCTGTCCACGTAACAAAGCCATAACAGAGCATCGGAAAATAACTACATGTAACATGTTTTTTCTAACAGGGCAAAGTTTTAGCTGGCTGATAGCTTCCATGCTCTAAGCCAGTGGTTCTTAACCTGGGGGTCGTGACTCCCCTGGGCGAGAATGCTACTATATACACAAAAATAAAAACAAAACGTATAAATAACTAGAAAGACTATAGGAGGAGATAGGTCGGCGGTTCAATCCCTGGCTCCCCCAGGCTGCATGTCGAAGTGTCCTTGGGCAAGATACTGAACCCTGAATTGCCCCTGGCGGCTGTTCCGCCAGTGTATGAATGTGTGTGAATGGTGAATGCAGATGTAGTGTAAAAGTGTTCTGAGTGGTCTAAAAGACTAGAAAGGCGCTATACAAATACAGAGCATAAGTATTTGATACCTACCAACCAGTAAGAATTCCGACTCTCACAGACCTGTTAGTTTTTCTTTAAGAAGCCCTCGTTACCTGTATAAAAGACACCTGTCCACA